AACGCATACTCAGCTACCTTTCTATTGTCCACGTTCTTGAAAAGTTTTTCATGTTCAACCATGAAAGGTGAACGCAAGTACATTGGAAGCTTATCCTTTCCTCTTTTTTTCCGTGTCTTTTCTTCTCCTTTTTCTTCTCCTTGTTTCCTACTTAATTCAATTAAAAAATATCACATAGATAACAAAAACCATAACTAAATCAAACCAAAATTTATTGATAACAAAAACCATAACCAAATCAAACCAAAATTTATTATTACCAAGTTTTAAATTAAAATTTAACTAAACCATAACCAACATTTGTTTTAAAGTTTAACCTAACTTTTCTAAATATTTCTAACCTAAAGATCTAATGTTTACAAAATGATTACCCTTTCTTGTTCTCATTTTTTTCTTCTTTGTTCTTCTCTTCATTCTTGCTTCCTTCATTTTCTTTCTTCTCCTCTTGATTCTCCTCTTTTTCCTCCTTTTTCTTCTTCCCCTTTTCTTCTCTCTTCTCCTCTTGGATCTCCTCTTTTTCCTCCTTTTTCTTCTTCCCCTTTTCTTCTCTCTTCTCCTCTTGGATCTCCTTTTTTTCCTCCTCTTTCTTCTTCCCCTTTTCTTCTTTCTTCTCCTCTTGCTTCTCTTCTTTTTCCTCTTCTTTCTTCTTCTCCTTTTCTTCTTTCTTCTCCTCTTTTTCCTCTTCTTTCTTCTCCTCTTTTTTCTCTTCTTGCTTCTCCTCTTCATCCAATGTAGGTGGATGATCTGGATTCAGAAAAGCACAATTTAGAACATTTGCTGTCACTTCTTCGTAAGTGAGTTCTGCTTCATTATCTTCTTGATTTTCTGGGACATCAAACCATAAGTAGAAACAATAAGGACACAACATAGAAATAGTTGGAAAAAATTTAGAACATTAGAAATAACTAGAATATAACCAGAAAAATTTAGAACACAAGAAGTAACTTTAGAACATAACTAATTTACAACATAATTATATTATTTAGAACATATGCACATAATTTAGAACATAATCATACAATTTAGAACATATGCACATAATTTAGAGCATAACTAATTTCGAACATAATCATATTATTTAGAAAATATGCACATAATTTAGAGCATAACTAATTTAGAACATAATCATATTATTTAGAACATATGCACATAATTTAGAACATAATCATATAATTTAGAGCATATGCACATAATTTAGCACATAATCATATAATTTAGAGCATATGCACATAATTTAGAACATAAGAAAGTAGTTTAAAACATAAGCATCTGATTTAGAAAAAATTTAGAACATCAGAAATAACTTTAGAACATAACAGAAAAATTTATAACATAAGAAGTAATTTTAGAACAAATCTAGTAATATTAGTTCAAAAGAAAAGAGTTTGAAAATAATGTAAAACTACCAACTGCTGGTGAGGGGGTCAATAAGTTGAAACTTGGAGGAGTTATATCAAAAGGTTGCTTCTTTTTTGGAGGAATTGGGTTTTTTGGTGACTCCTCATTCCTTTTCTCTTTCTTCTCAATTTTTTCCTCCTCGTTTCTCTCTTTTATGTCCTGCTCTTTTTCTTCTTCTTTTGATCCCAAATCTTCATAGCAATTACACCATAAAAATTAAGTATTATAGCAAATAGAAAAAAATAATTAGAAAATAAAAAGTAACTTTAGAACATAAGAAATATATACAATTAGGAGACAACCTAGAAATAGTTAGAATATAAAAAATTAAGAATTAACTTTAAAGCATAACCAGAAAAAATTTAGAGCATAAGAAGTAATATTAGAACATATCTAGTAAATATTAGTACATAAAAAATGAATTTGAAAATAATGTGAAATTACCAACTACTGGTGAGGGAATCAACAAGTTTTTGTCTTTATTCTCTTCATTTCTCTCTTCTTTGTTCTTATCTTTTTCCTCTTCCTTTGATCTCAAATCTGCTTAACAATTAGAACATAACTAATTTAGAACATAACTAATTTAGAACATAATCATATAATTTAGAACATAAGCATGTGATTTAAGCGCATGTTTTAGAACATAAAAAAGTACTTTAAAACATAAGCATCTGATTTAGAACATAAGTATAATTTGGAAATTAAGCATGTACATGTGAAATTACCAACTGTCGGTGACTTTGGTGACCTTGTTTCCTCGAATTTCTTCCATGCCTTATCCATAACCATATCCAATTCTTCAATAAATGCTGGTTCATCGAAGACATGTTGATCTTGGCTGAGTATAGAAGGGCTTTTCTTTTCTTCTTGGTTCACGAATGTCTATAAAATAATAAATTATAATTTAGAACATAATATGCATAATATTTATATAAATTTATTATACTTTAGAACATAAGCTGAAAATACTTTAGAACACAACCAGAAAATACTTTAGAACATAATTATAATACCTTTGTTGTGTACTTGCACCATATGTTGTCTATGAGATGTTGCATTTTTCCTGTTGTTTCTTCCTCAACAAAAAGATCTTTTGCTTGTTCTAACATGCCATACATCTCTTTAACATTCGAGGCAAGTGTTTTTGCCAAATCTCCAAATTTGCTCAAAAAGCCCTTCATTAGAACACAAAAATATTTTAGAACATAAAGGACATAACATGGATAATTTAACAGAAAAGGATTAAATTGAGCATAAAATATAATTTAGAACATAAACTAAATCATACCATCATGTCATTTCGAGAAGTTGTAGAACTAGAACCTATTGATGATTTTTCCATTCTCTTCTCTTTTTCCTTTTGTTTTGGTTGTTTCTTTTTTCCTTTTGGTGCCTTCTAGTATATAAATTATAAAATTTAGAAAACAACAACATAAATTTTAAAGATTAGAATATAAAGGTTAGAATAAAGTGTTTTCAATTTTTACAAGATAAGCATATGTAGTAATAATTTAAAAGGTATAATTACCATTGATGACTCTTCCTTTCTATTTTCCTTGTCCTCTTGTCTTGATTGTTTCTTGTTTTCTTCCTACACATTATAATATATGAATTAAAAAATTTAGAATATAAAGGATAAACTTTAGAGCATAAAGAGAGAACTTTAGAACATAGGCAAAAGTAAGTTGAGTGATTAGAACATAAAGGATAAACTTTACAACATAAAGGGTAAACTTTAGAACATAATGGGTAAACTTTAGAACATAAAGTGTAAACTTTAGAACATAGGCAAAAGTAAGTTAAATATAAAGTTTAGAATATTTAGGGGTAAATGTTAAAATAGTTTATCACATAAAGTATATAGTTTAGAATATTTAGGGGTAAATATTAAAACAGTTATCACATAAAATATATAGTTTAGAGCATAAAGGGTAAACTTTAGAACGTAAGCAAATATAGATAGAATATAAAGTGTAGTGTTTAAACATAAGCATATACAAATATCATACCACAATTGATTCCATTCTTTCCAAGAGTTTTCCATATCCAAATCCATGATCTTTTTCAAATTTATATCTCACTTGAATCCTTTCCTTTGTCCACACCAAAATTAGTGGACATTTTCTTGGTTTTTCTAACCCTCCTCTTTGTAGACGATCAAAATAGAATACCTATTTAGTACATGTTAAGAATTAATTAGAATATTTTTCACACATTTTCAACATAACAAGAATAATATATATACATAATGGTAAGAATTTAAAACTTACCATTAGAAAAGGTAAAGGACCTGTAAAGTAAGAATTTCCCTTCTTCCATACACTTACAGAATATTTCAAGTGCTCAATCACAAATGTGCACCAATCCAATTCAGCAATTTTCTTTACATCCATACAACTATACAAGAATTTAATGTATAGTTGTGGGTTGTTTGTTGATCGAATGCAACAATTGACAACACATACCACAAAGTTCCAAAGAAATTCATCAGAAACTGATTTTTCCTTCTTCAATTCTTGAATTCTGTCAATCAATCTCTTGTTGGTTGGACTTCCCTTTTAGAGGTAAAAAAAAACATATAAATTAAAACCTATGGAGATAATAGATCTATTTTAAAGCAGAAAACACTTTAGAACATAAGCAAAGCACTTTAGAACATACAATTTATAACATAACCATCTTATATCAATATAATATCATAAAAATAGCTAAATATAATTTTGAACATTACAAGTCAAATAACTACATAAATGATCTACGTTTTAGAACATAAAATTCATACTTTAGAACATAAAATTTAAAACATAACCACATTATATCATCATACTTTTTTGAGGCCAAACTTGCTTCTCCAAGCTTTTAGAAACTTGCTCCATTTCAGATTTGACTCATCATTTGGTTGCTCAATCCTTTTGCCTCCCAATGGCAACCCATAAGCCAAATGAACATCAATTGCCTCCAAAAAGATTTCTTGTTTTCTCTTTGGTAACATCAAACAACATCTCTCCGTGTCAAAATTCGTAACCAAGTTTTCTGTCAACCTAGAATTATAATGAAAAATGTAAGATTTAAAGCACAATACAACTATATTTAGAATATAATTGTCAATCTTTAGAACATAGAAGATTAAAACATTTAGTATAATATTTAAACTTTTGAACATAATTTAGAACATTATATAATAAAAAAAAGTCTATTTTAGAACATAATAAACATACATTAGAACATAACAAAAAATTAATTTAGAACATTAGTGTATAGCAATTCAAACATGAGAGATCATAATTTTAGAATACAAGAAGTAACTTTAAAACATAAGTAATTTACAACATAATCATATTATTTAGAACATATGCACATAATTTAGAACATAATCATACAATTTAGAACATATGCACATAATTTAGAACATAGCTAATTTCGAACATAATCATATTATTTAGAACATATGCACAAAATTTAGAGCATAACTAATTTAGAACATAATCTTATCATTTAGAACATTAGTGTATAGCAATTCAAACATGACAAATCATAATTTTGAACATAACATTGATAATACTTATGATTTTAGAATATGATTTTAGAACATAACATTCTACTACTACATAGAGTTAATATGGATTGGTAAATCCAATTCCAAAAAGCCTCCAAAACCAATGTTCCGAATAGCTTGCTTTTGTTTTTCCGAAAGATTTATCAACACATCCTTCATGAATTGAGTAGGAGGTACTCTTTGATAAGGTTGCTCTTAACTAGTTTATCTTGCTCATTAGCTTCTACTACTTGGACATCCTCACCATCTTCTTCTTTTTCAATCTTTCTTTTCTTCTTCTTCTTCACATCCTCACCATGAATAGATAAACATAATTAGAACATAGATAAGCAAAATTAGAACATAAGCGTGCACTTTAGAACATAAAAATAAAGATTGTAAAGATTAAAGAGTATTATTACCTGAGTTTGATTTTTTTTATTGATTTTTTGTTCCTCCTCACTATCTATCATCTTCCATCTCCTCTTTTTCATCTTTCTCTTTCATCTTTACATCACCCTTATTATCATCCTCACCATCATCTTCACTATCATTATTCTCGTCATCATCCTCAACATTATTACCCTCTTCTTCTTTTTGATCTTTTCCTTCTTCTTGATCTTTTTCTCTTCCTTCCTTTTTTTGCAATTTTCGAGGTGGTTGAAGCCTTGTTGGAAGTTTTCTATGTCTTATAGCAACACTTTTACTTTCAATATGCTTCTCAAATTCCGATCTATCAATTACTTCCGCTTCAACGTTTTCAACTTTCCTTTAAAAACAATAAAAAATAATTAGAATACAACTAACATTAAATAGAGTGCAAATATAAAGGGATAAGATGAACATAAACTATAATGGATACATATTAGAACATAATACAAATCTTCAGAATATAAGAGAAAATTTTAGAACATAATGGAAAACTTTAGAACATATTGGAAAACTTTAGAACAAAATTTAAAACATAATAGGTAAAGTTTAGAACATTAGTTTAGTTACCTTTTTCTTACATAAGTAATTTCTTCTTCTTGTATATTAGTAACTCCTCCTTCTAATTTTTCTTCATTTTGGCCTTGCATTTTACTGCAACATTAAGAAATCAAAAACATTAGTAACATTCCAACATTATTATTATATTTTTGAACATAGGAATAATTTAGAATATGCTGAAAAATAGTTTAGAACATGCTTAAAAAAGAGTTTAGAACATGCTGGAGAGTGAAAAACCCAAAATAGAATGAGTAAACTAGAAATTTAAAAGACAAATGAAACAGAAACATGATAAGGTTTGATTGAGTTTATTTTCAGCCCATGTTCTAAATTATTTCAACCTATGTTCTAATTTTTTCCTATGTTCCAAATTTTTTCTACCTATGTTCTAAAGTTTATTTTCAGCCCTGCAATCACAAGTTCACTACCAACAACCCCTAACCAATTAGCTGCTGCTGCATAAATCAACCACCACACCACAACCCCTACAAACAGGGGCAATCGCACCAACATCACCAATTTCGAAATCAAAATTCGAAAAAATCACTAATTTTTCCAATTTTCCTTAGCTTGGTTTGTAAGTGGATGAAAATAACTTTCCAGGTTGGAATAGTTTTTCTAAGGGGGGGAAAAGCATTCCTGTTCTAAGTAAGGAGAGCTACATGTGCTTCCCCAACTTAACTTCCTCCCCCCTTCCATTTCTAACCCTTCATCTCCCCTTCTTCCTTTCCTCTCCAAATTTTCAAGCAAAGAACCAACATAGGAAAATTAATCTCCATTGCAATAATATTCCATGGATTAAAGTTAGTTTGAATTGTTTCTTTTAAATCAACACAACTTACGCGATAAACTACTTAGGAATTTTCAGCCTAAGAGATTCCTTCTAGAAATCAATTTTCATTAGGAGTAACTCCTATGACTAAAAATTATGTTCACTGTTTCTGATCCTCACTAATCTGGCACAATTCATTTCGATGCTACAGATCAAAGCACAAAATAAAAATCAAGCATCTCCTCCAAGTTCTACAAATATCAAGTGTCTACTTGACATTGCAAATTTTTTTTTTCAACTCCCGGTCTCGCTACACATTTAGATCGTCTATAAACTACTCGAGGCATTTTGAAGCCATATTTGATTCAAGCTATATTCAATCACATGATACTCCTAAATATGATCAACTAATTGTAAAATATCCAAAAATAAATAAAAAGAGCAAGTGGAAAATTTCATAAGCAATCTATGTCAAATTACAAATCTGGTAATCAAGATTCATTTAAAATGCAAGGTTCTAATATATCAACTGAAACTCAGGACCAATTTCAGTTGCAAAGCACAAAACTGACAATCAAAATTCATTTAAAACGCAAAACTCTAATTACCAGCAGAAACTTACCACCAATTTCAGTTACAAAGCACAAAATTGACAATCAAAATTCAATTAAAAACCTAAAATCAAATCAAAAAATCGGAAAACATAAAATCGCAAAAATCAAAACAAAAAATCGCAAAATCTACTTGAACAACATGCTAAGTTCATGGAAATTTGAACAAAATAAAAAAAAAAAAACGCAAAATCAAATCAAAAAATCGGAAAACATAAAATCGCAAAAATCAAAACAAAAAATCGCAAAATCTACTTGAACAACATGCTAAGTTCATGGAAATTTGAACAAAAAAAAAAAAAAAAAAAACGCAAAATCAAATCAAAAAATCGGAAAACATAAAATCGCAAAAATCAAAACAAAAAATCGCAAAATCTACTTGAACAACATGCTAAGTTCATGGAAATTTGAACAAAATAAAAAAAAAACGCAAAATCAAATCAAAAAATCGGAAAACATAAAATCGCAAAAATCAAAACAAAAAATCGCAAAATCTACTTGAACAACATGCTAAGTTCATGGAAATTTGAACAAAATAAAAAAAAAACATACCTGAGTCGAAAATCCTTCAAATTGCAATTTCTATGGAGATTTTTGGGGGTTTGCAGAGAGAGAATGTGATGAGCACGAAGAGAGAGAAAGTTAGAGGAGAGAGAAAATTTTGATCGGGTGGTAGGGCCGTAGGGGGTATGAGGAAAAATACGTGTTTTAATCTTAACCGTCTAAATTACCTTAATCCTACGGCTGAGATTGGTTCTTATATAACTAGGGTTCTTATATAAGGAGGGGTTCTTACCGGATCCCTCCCCTATATATATATATATATATATATATATATATATATATATATATATATATATATATATAATAATCAACACGAAACTTTGACAATTAACTACAGTGTAAAAATAATTGTGTAAACCATATAAACTTATCTCAACGTAGTATTTTTTTTTTCATTTTTTTCTTCCCTTTTCGTATACGGAGTACAAGTCTATCCATATAAAGGTTGCACCTAGAGGTGGTTATTGGGTAGGGTAGCCCAATGATAATAGGGTCAGGGTCAAGCTTAAAGGATTTTTAATGGATAGGGCCTTTAATGGACAATACCCTTATTGGACAGGGTCAATATAGAGCCAAAATGTTTTTCCAATTTAATTAATAAAGAAAATAGATAATGTAAAAATAATTACATAGATAAATTCATATTCATATATACTTAATAATGGCTTTGTCTAATATCTTTTTTAAAACAAATTTTTGTATGCGGCTGACCACTTGGTGCGGCAGGGGTTACTTGTAGGGTGTTACTGGTTTTGTCAGGGGTTACTTGTATGGCTGTTACTGGTTTTGGTCAATGGTTACTTGTAAGGTGTTACTGGTTTTGTCGGGGGTGACTTGTTGGTGTTACTTGTACGGGTGTTACTGGTTTTGGTCAAGGGTTATTTGTAGGATGTTACTGGTTTTGTCTAGGGTTACTTATAGGTGTTACTTGTATTTTGGGGTTACTTGTAGGGTGTTACTTGTATTTTGGGGTTGCTTGTAGGGTGTTACTGGTTTGATATGGAGTTTTGGTTAGAGTTACTTGTAGGAGTTACTCAGAATACAAGTAACCTATACAAGTAACTTCATAATACAAGTAACCCATACAAGTAACCTCATAATACAAGTAACCCTAGAATACAAGTAATCCCTGCCGTACTATGTGGCTTGCCGCACTGAAAAACTTCTGCTTTTTTAATTGATATTTTATAGGCCTGTCTATTATCGACCCGCAACCCGCATTGGTCCCACCCAATATTAACCCTATAAAATTTGACCCTCTTTAACCCGACCCCCAACTGACCCGCACCGACCCTGACTCTTGCCCAATAACCAGGTCTAGTTGCACCTATGTCATCATATGTGATTACACATTTACACTACACTACTACATCAACACAATCAATGAGAAGCAAATCATACTAAAAACAGCAATAAACCCAGAACAAAACCACGTGCAACATTAATTAATTGAATAACAAATTGAATAAAATATGATCATTAACTAAATTCTATGCCTAACTAAATTGAATAATTTTAATTTGTTCAGAAATGAACAAATTAAATTAATAAGTAAATAAACATACATTCTCCTATTAGCATTCCCCTCATCATTTGATTTTGTAGGTTGTGCGCGTGTCACTTTCCCCCCACTCGTGTGTAAAATCACATTTCAACATTCCCTCCATAACACAACTCCCCCCCCCCCCACCTCACCTCACCTCACCTCAGCTCACCTTCACCCCCACCTTTCCACTCTCACTCACTTTCTCTCTCTAAACTCCATTAATGGCTTCCTAGAATTTTCTCTCTCTAAAACCCACCATTTTTTCTCTCTCTAAACCTTTGTCGCATTTTCTGCTACTGCTGCATCAACACTTTCTCTCTTATCGTCTGCGCCTTTTGTCGGGGTAAATTTTCTCTTTCTAACTCTCACAATTTCACTCTACTTTTTTTTTTTTTTTTTTTTGTTTCTGAAGCTTTTGCTAAGTTTAGACATGGCAGAATCAAATTTCTGCGCTCCAAAATGCTTCCATTTCTACTTTTTTTGTTGAGTTTTTTTTCAAATAAAATCTGGTCGAAATCCCAAATTTCTCTCATCTAGGGTTTCGTGAAGTTTCTGTTTTGGTTGATTCGTAATACAATGCATATTTTCGATGCATTTTCTCTCTCTTACCTTTTCCAAAAATACGCCGTCGATTTAGAGATCTTCAGGAAGTCAAATCCTATTCTTCTACAGTAATTTTTGTTGTTTGATGTGACTTTTCTGACGCTTTTTTCATTTATTTATTACTCTTCACATTAAATAATCAAATAAATACTCCATTGTTTTATTGTTTCGAGGTTTCATATACTTTTATTCTCTCTCTCCAGTTTCTTCTTCATCAAGCTCTCATTTCTGAAGGTCACTTCTGCTGAGTTAACTCGCTCCGAGTTGCTACGTTCACTCGATTATTCGTCGATTTTTGCGACCATTTTTACGGCGATGTGTACGTCGACGAGTATGCCTTCTTCGGGTGGTTTGTGGCGGAGAATCGCGGTTGTTACGACGGCTTTTTCGTTGCTGTTATTCCTCATTCTACTACTTCATACTGGTACACATTATCAACTTTTTTCTTAAAATTATTGAATCTTCTCTACTTTATTTATCCGAAAATTTTCTTCGTCATTTTTTATCTCAAAAAATTGCGTTAATAATATTATGAATTATCCTGATTTTTAGTTTTTGTAATTTTTATGACGTTTGATTTTTTTTTTTTGTTTGTAAATTATATATTTTTTTTATTTTGTTTGTAAATAATCTTCTCACAATTTCACTCTACTTTTTTTTTTTAATTAATTTCGAAAAATAACGAAGAATTTTATTTTTGTCGACTGAAGACAACAATGGCGGTATATAACATTATTATTAATAATATTTTGTTATTATTATTATTATTATTTTATTTACAGGGAAGAAAATCAATATCAATGGTTTTCAAATGAAGAGGTTGATTTCATCCGCCATTAACGACGTTCTTCCATCTCCTCACTGGAAACTTCTAGGTACTTTCTCTCTCTACACTTTCTCTCTCTTACAGTCTTACCCTCTGTTAGTGTGTACTTTTTTCGGGGTATATGGCCTGGAAATTGTGTAATGGCGATGTGTAGTGGAAACGCATATGAACAGAGGTAAAGGGGGTGTACTAGTACTATTACTGTTAAGATTGAGTACAATATTATTTTTTTGTCTTTGTTAGAATTTTTGTCACATTCAAATTAATTTTATTTGAGGATGAATTTATGGGTTTATTTTATGTTAACTTGCACCTGGTTGAATTGGATTGGGTTAAATGCTAAAATGCTGTAATTTTTGCTGTTCATATATTCAATTTTGGTATGGTTTTTGAGAGACAAATATTTGGTAGGGGACCACCGTGAAGTTTTTTTTTTTTTTTTTTTTTTGGGTATTTTTGAAATTTGTCATTTCAGGGTAATTTTATTTTAATGGCAAATTTGTTGGATATGCGCATGTTTAGCAATATATGAGTAACTAATTAGGAGTTCTCACTTTGCTTTCAAAAAAAAAAAAAAAAGGTTAGGAGTCCTCACTAAATTATGATATAACCCACTTTTGAAGTAAACTTGATTTTGTAGAATTTAAGAACTTTAATTGAGTACATTATTCCCTTGTTTCTAAATGTTGTTCTTTACTTTGATGTTGCTAGAGATAGAGGGGAGTAGTTAGGCTTTTGATTTGAATTTTGATTTTGTCTTGTGTTTTTGTTAATTGTAGTCAAGTTTAACTGGTTTGATTGTATTAATTGATTGGTTCTTAATTAGATCTTTGTTTTTTGTATATCCATTTAGGCTAGTGTAAATTTGGGCTTTGGATTTAAGATTAATGACTTGTGATTTTCGATTTGAATTTTAATCTAGTCTTGTATTAATTTGCTAGATTGTACTAATTGATTGGTTTTTAATTGGATATTTGTTTTTTGTATATTCATTTAAGATAGTGTAAATTTGGACTTTGGGTTTAAGATACAATGATTTGTGATTTTCGATTTGAATTTTGATTTTGTCTCGTGTTTTTAGTAATTGTAGTCAAGTTTAATTGGTTAGATTGTACTAATTGATTGGTTCTTAATTGGATCTTTGTTTTTTTTTTGGTCCATTTTAAGCTAGTGTAAATTTGGACTTTGGGTTTAAGATACAATGATTTGTATTATTCAGTTTATGTACAAGTTATAGTGGTGGTTAGTCACTTACAATGTTGCAATTGCTCCACTAATTGATACAATTTCTTAGGGTCTGGTTAATGTCTGATTTGAATGAGATAGTATATTTTTTTATTAATTCGATTTCATGCTCCAATTTGAATGACATTATTTCGTTGCTCTAGTTGGTGCTTGGTAAGTTGGTGGTACTATGGAATCTGAATCCATGAATTGGAAATGATTTTAGCAAACCATATAAATAGGGGAATAATAATGTTGTGATAAGCAGTCTATAGTTGTCGCATAAAAGATGAACCATAATGTAGGGGACCTTACTAAATTCACTTACCCTATGATGTTTGCTTTTAGTTGATTATTTATGCTTGCCCCTGTCCCTTTTCAATAAACTCATTCATACTAAAAAAAAAAAAAGTTAATTTTGTCTCCATATTGCATTCTATTTTTTCTATTAACATTAGTATGTTCATTGCTTAAATGGGTGTTGTTTTTCTGCTTAAAAGTTGATTACATCCTTACTATGTTTTGACCCCGTGTTTTTGTTTCTAAATTTGGGCAGCACCGAGCGTTGAGCCAACCCGGTTTTGGGATGATACCAACAAGTGCTCTGAGTCTGACCTTTCCGTTGGCCAAATACCCAGTGCACCATTGCCCTCGGGTATACCCACTTACACTGTTGAGATCGTGAATGTGTGCTCCTCTGGATGTGACATCGCCCACATTCATCTCCGTTGTGGTTGGTTCAGCTCTGCCTTCCCCGTCGACCCATCTCTCTTCAGGCGTATTCGTTTTGATGATTGTGTCGTCAATGCTGGCAGAATTCTAGGGAATGGGGAGTCGTTTACCTTCCAGTATGCCAATACCTACAGCTACCCCCTTTCTATTTCATCCATGAGTTGCTTATAGATAATTAGATACTCAATAGCTATTAGTCTTTTTTTTTCTTGCCTAACGGAGTAGTACCTAATGTTGTCTACAATTAGGCTTGGCTTAGGCTAACTAAAGAACACCCAGCAATTATATGAAGCAACGAAGCCATAGTTGTGACTCGCAAGCTCGTGCCTTGTATAATTGTTGGGTGTTGATTTGCCTTATTCCTTTGTGGGTAGTTTTTCATATAATTCTTGGTATACATGAGGCTTAGAGAGAATTAGTATTGATTTTGGTAGGGAATTTCGTGATGTAATTAGTCTTAAAGTCCACAACCTTGGGCAATTTTTTTTTTTTTTTTTTTTTTTTTTTGGGGGGGGGGGGGGGGGGGGGGGGGGGGGGGGGGGGGGAGGGGTATATATAGATGTATATACGAGTTATCTCGTAGTGCAGTTTTTGCTAGTACGTTTTTTTTGATACTAAAAGCCTAAAAGGTAAAAAAAATATGATTTGTTCACATTGTTGATGTCCTACTCATACTTTGTATTAGAATTTTTTTGTTTTCATTACCCATGCTGTATCTTGACTAGTTTTCGGACTTGGTTGTGTTGTTTGATTTCTTTAGTTATAAACCCGAGTTATGACATAAATTTTGATACGTAAAGGCACAATGATAGTGTAGACTATAGACCGGTTACACTATAATTACCCAAGACAGCCCTGTGCCATCTTTTTATTTTTTTATTTTTTTTAGGATAAAAAAACGCCTAATAAGGTTGTGGACTTGAACCTAACGTAATCAGCCAGAATCGGGACACGTCGGACCACGGTTGATTAAGCTATATAAGGAATGAACCAAAGAGGCTTATGTAATTCCATTTGTTATGAGAAAATACCAAATTCCTGTAGTTAAGTTTAGTGGTAGTAAATGGCAGAGAGAGGATGAAGGTAAAAACAAAAGACAATAAATAGTGGACAATGGACATAACCTGAGGCAAAGAAGCCCTGATAAAACTAGCGGTCCGTAGACCCTGAGTAGGGTGTTTGGTTTGGTTAGAGTTAAGTAAAGAATAGGAAAAGCTTTATCTGTGATAGCAATGGGTTGATAGCGAAAAAGAGGAAAGTATGAGGCAGGGGACATTGGGGCAAGTGTGGTGGATTAACCATAACCAGTGTTTAATAGCCGCCAGTAGCAGTAAGCAGTCAGCAGTGGGATGGACGGTCATCTCCACCTTTTGTATTTGTCTCTCACTGTCACCTCCGTTTGACCACCCTTTCTCTCACTGTCACACTCTCACTACGGTAGTACGGTGTACACTACTTTTAATAATAAAATGTTCAAATAAAATTAAGTTTTTGGTATTTTAACAATTTTTACTCTATCTATTTCAAAATTCATTACTCCTTCCATGTTTATATACTTGATGTTATTTTACGACCGTATTTTAGAGCCTGTGTCGTGCACCGTTACGGTTAAAACTATCATTAATCATTTTGACTTAACAAAACAATTTTATATCACTAATTATAGTTTTATGAAGATAATTGTATACCTTCGTGTGCAAAGCACACTCAAAAGTGTTTCGTTTGATAATAATTGAATGAACAATATTTATCAGAAAAAGTAAATAATAATCTTTAGTATACATATTACCTATTATGAGAGGGCTTGTGCTGCATTCAAATTTCAAGCCCCAAGGGCTTTTCATGTGAGGGGAGTGATAGAGTATAAAACATATTTCTGGCCCCAACTATCAGTTTGAGCTTTTGATTGGTTGAATTGGTCCCCTAACATGGTATCGGATCCAGCGTGACACAAAGGTCACGGGTTCAAATCTCATCCACCCTTCTTTCAAAGTGGAATTAATTTGCGCCGGGTATGAGAGGGCTTGTGCTGCATTCACATTTCAAGCCCAAAGGGCCTTTCATGTGAGGGGGAGTGATAGAGTATAAAACATATTCTTGGGCTTCAACCATCACTTTAAGCTTTTAGTTGAGTTGGTCTTTTATCTGATAGTGTCTCCCCAAAAACCAAATTCATTGATGAGTACTTTTCACGTCATTGAATATCGAATGAGGTAAAATGTTCAAGAGTCTCGTGAGTTCTTATGTTTTCTAAAATGTTTTAATAAAAATAATTCATTTTGTTTTCGAAAATCGTTCATTTCGTATTCTATTTATGAAAAACGTCCAATTCAGTTTATTTTGGTCCATAATATGGCTTCAATAATTGTGTAGTTAAATGGGGTTTGAAAAGAGCTTTCCAATGATATGTTATAAGCCCAGTTCTGAGTTATGACGAGGAAGATATGGCCAAAATACTAAACCGGGTCTGAAATGAGTTTTATATACGACCCAATGATCATGTGGAGGGTCCATTAGTTATAATTGTATTCCTAAAGTCATTAGGATTTATCTTAAACTTCTAGAATCTTTTAGAAAGTTATTTTAAGTTTTAAAGGGATAAGCATCTATATAAATTCGGGAAAAAACTCCACTTTAATACACACACACACACACACACACACACACACATATTAGATACTAGTTTTGTGTCCCGTGTGAAGCCCGGATTGTTTATTAAATTTTAAGATAAATTTTTTATCTATATGTCAAATTTTTTAATAGACCATTGGTACAAATTAGTTAGGAATTGAATGTGCTTTTGTGACACTTTAAACTATATGTGTAGTAGACATGTAATGACTAATAATAATATTGGTGAAACTGTTACACATTAAAAAAAAAACAGCAAAATAAGCATGAAATATTAGAAATTTCTAAGAAATTAGAAAAATAGAGTAAATATGTAATACTCCGTATTTTTTATTATACTTATATATATAAATTAATTATTTTATTTAATTTATTTATTAAAATGATTTATTTCATTTTAAAAAGAAATTATTTATATAAATAAATTGTAAGTGTGTATAAATAAAATGGATCATGAATTGAGACAATAAAAGTATTTTTAATTGGGTCAATCCTATTGAAATGAGTGGACTAACTTATTGGAAATTTAGGGGCCCAATTGAGAAATTGAAGGGAAGTAGGAATTAGTAATGGAAAAGTTGTAAATATGAGTTTTATTAAGGAGAGTATAAATAATTTAAAATCTAAAGATTTTTCCACACAAGTTCATAATAGTCAGATTTCACAAAAAATCAAAGGTTTTCTCTTTATTTTATGTCTCTGCTTGTTCTCTTCTTTTTCCTTTATTTTTCTTTTCATTTTCTTCTTCTTTTTCCCCTAAATTCCATGCCTCTCTCTCCTTCTCCCTCCTCTTGTGGACAGCACATCGGCGCCACCACCACCACCACCGGGCAACCAATCGGTGAATTCTTTCTCCTCCTCCTTCTCTCCTCTTTCGGTTTGTGTGTAAAAAAAAATCTTTTAATTTTAAAATAATTCTATTGATTGATTGTTTTAAAGGCATGATTTTTATTATGTTTTGGTATTGATTTTGAGATTTTGATGTTGCTAATTTATTAACATAAATTTCATATTTTTATTTTATTAAAAACCCCAAATTATAAACCCTAGAAATCGGGGATTTTGTATAATTGATTAGGAATTGAGGCTAGGTTGTTGTTATTGATTAATTCATGGTTCTAATCATGTTTTTGATGAGTTTAAAGCCTTCAATTAGTGCTGGAATTTATTTATACACACTACTTTTTAATTATTGAGTTAGGGTTTGATTACCCATAAAAGGAAAAAAGGTTTTAATGATTTGTATATGATTTCCTAGTTTAAAAGTGATGTTTTATTCTAAATAAGTATGCTGGAATTTTATTTAAGTCATGAAAATCAAGTCTTTTTGAAAGGATTTAAAGTACCCATTTATAGAAAAGGTTTTATGGCTTTATTGTCATTAAAAGGGTTGATTAGTATGATTACATAGTATTATAGTTGCTGGAAATTTGTGAGAATAGTGGATTAATTATGGTAATGTATTTTAATTGTAGGAAGTTTCGAGCAAAGTGGTTTCTAGCGAGTGTGGCCGAGTTATTAAGACGTTATTCAAGGTACGTATGTGCACAAGAATATTTGTGTATGCGTAGTATCATGCTAGGATTGTGAATTATGGTTGAAGTGATGAATTAGAAGCATGTTTGGTTGATTATATGTTTGGAATTAATGTTGGTTGACCATAAATTATTATGCAAGTCTGTGAATATGATATTTGAATCATGATACAAGTTGGATATATGTGAATTCTTGAAGTATGTTTTGTTTTTGAGTATCAATGAAGCATGAAATTAATAAGCAAGGCTTATATATGTTTAAAAGAGCTATAATTAGAATTATTGAACATGATTCATGAATTTTACTCTCATCCATTTATTATTGGTGTTGAGTCAAGGAAGTTAGTTTATTTAATTGCTCACTCAAGTAAATTGAGATTGAGTTAAGGAAGTTTATTAGTGCATTTTGTACACCAAGGTAGTAATCGTGCAATTTTGTACACAAAACTAGGAAAACTACCTTTATTAAAATAAATAGTATGTGTCACTAATTAATTCAAGAATTAATCGGAAGGAAGTGTTGATTATTGTAATGTTTATTCTTGATTGATTGGTTGGAGTCTTCACATGTTAAATTGATAAATCACGTAAAGTGTAAAATGATACGCACCAAAACTCTTAAAACATATATACCTTGAGTATGAACATATAGGGGGAGTTATGGGGTTTTATATTTAACAATAACTTCTTATGCGCTGAAATTCCGTCAATAAGGTGTGACATAGTAGGTGCCAATTGAGTGTAGCTCCCTGAGTGGAAGCTCCATTTTAATGGGCTATATTGTTAAGGAAGGAAACCCGTTCGATGCGAAATCCAAAGCTATTATTTACTAACTAATATTGCTAGTTATGAGTCAAAGGTAAGTTGACTGTGATTATATGGCAGACATGTTTTATTATTATTATTATTGATAGGATATTCATGTTAGTGTGGTGCATATGTACTCAACTTTTGGTGATTCGTAATTTTATGTTTGTGTTTGGCTTTGCTTTGGTTGGCCCCACTATGACCCATTTGTATGGTGAGTAGAGGGTTAAAATTAGGGGTGAGCGTAGCAGGGTACCATGTAAAAATCTTAAGACCCGGAATCGGAACTTGTTGCAACAGGTTCCTAAAAATGGGACCCGGAACCGGAACCTGTTCAACAGGTTA